ATAAATGACGAAGAAAGGAGAGGCAGTGATCGATGGTACGACGCACCGTTCCGAAGCGTGCCCAGTTACCTTCTCACTTCATTATTCATTCGGCAGCTTCCAATTTGGAACGATTTTGATTTAGCAATCGTCGTCCATCGCAAGCGAGATGCTTTCGCGAGTTCTTGTTAACGATTGAGAACCTACGGGCTTCTTGATATACAAGATAATTCGCAACGGTGAGGATCGTTTTCTTGATCTATACCGATCGAACGAGTAAGCCTTCCGTTCGAAATAGAAATTACAGGTGTGTACGCTCGTAACGTCGGGTATATTACTCGTTAGAGTTAGTTTATTAACGTTATTGGTATCAATGTTTCGACACCGACAGAATCGTTTCCTTTCAATGCTAGATGATGAACGATTATTACGCGCGGTTAATCACGGTTGATTCTTTTAACTGAAACTTTCCGTCGTTATTATTAGCGACATGTAGGTATAACAATTCTTCTATGTGCAACACGTTTGATCGTAAAATTATTTCTTATCTGAGCCGAGAAATCAAAGTTTTCTCCTAGTACATGTATACATATACATATACGTATACATATACATATACATATACATATACACATGTATATATATATATATATATATACATACGCACGCACACGCTCATATACACAATAATTTATCGTTCCTCCATCAAGTTCTTATCCCTTTCAGTTCATCTCTTTAATATAAAAAAACAGAAATGAAATGGAAAAAGTTATTCCTTTTTTGCGTTTGATCCACCTCCACATTTCCTCCTCCTCCTCTTCCACCTTCTCAGAGAAATTGCGTTCGATCGGCATTCGTGGCACCCTGCAGAGCATTTCACACTCGCCGCCACTGGCGGTCGACCAGTGCACTCCTGACGCGTCCACCTTGCTCCGCAATTATCCAGAGCAGTTCTAAGGTAGCTCTGCGTGAGCAAGTGAGCTAGCTAGCTAGTGAGCTAGCTAGACAGTTAGGTAGCTAGCTAGCTAGCGAGCGAGTGAGCGCGTATCACCGATTTCTGTATCGCCTTCGCACTAAAACAGGTAGGTAGAGAGCCTAGAGAGCAGGTCACTTTCGCTGCTCGTACGAGAGCAGCGTTCCAGTGGTCGCGCACGCGTGCTCCTCCATTCATAAAGAGCTATGGAAGAGCGTATACACTCAGCTGTGGTGGCCATCCTACGCGCGAGCATGCAACCACGTGGACCCCGACTAGTCTCTCGTGTAATATTCTCTTAACTACCTCCCTCCCTAGATCGTTCATTCTCTCTCTCTCTCTCTTTTTTTTGTTTCATTTTCTCTTTTTCTTTTCTTTTCTTTTTCTTTCTTGTTTCTTTTTTATTTTTTATTTTTTATTGCCTTTTTTTTTTTCTTTTTTTTTTTTTTACTTCATTTTCATCAAGCACAATTAGTAAGACTTTTCCATCCTCGTTCTATGTATATTGTCCGGGACTTGATTATTGTCTATATATAACTTGACGATTTTTTCTTTTCTTTTCTTTTCCCTTCTCTCATTCTCGAGATATTCGTATAGATATATCTATTAATCTTGATGCATAAGACCTTACGGTATACACCGCATTGGTATACAAGTCACGCTTCCTTTATCACGTCCATCGTGTTCAAGAAGATAGAAAATAGATCGATTAAGATGGAAGAAAATTTTCACCGGAAGGAAAAGTGATTGCCTACAATAGCGATCTATATACTAACTTACTTACTTACTTAGGTCACTTAGTTTACTTATCGAGTAACGTATAGATCTATCTCGTTAAATCAGCTCGTTCGTTGTTCGTTAAATCACGAAGCTTTCGTAACCTTTCAATTAAGAGTCCAGAGTGCCGAGGAGTCGGATATAACCAACGATCTTAAAGTGGAAAGCCGTTTCGCGTAATAGTCAACACCATGGCAGGTCGCTAGCCACGTTTTGCTCGTCCTCTCTTACGATCCCTGATGATTTAGGATAGAGATCGATAAGTAGATTGCGACTTGGACGCCTCCAAGTCAGTTTTATCGGTCACCGAGGTATCACCCTTGACGATGAAACGAGCTGATGACGTACGATCGATCGATCGATCGATCTATCTATCTATCTATCTATCTATCTACCTATCTATCTATCTATCTATCTATCTATCTATCTATCTATCTATCTATCTATCTATCTATTTATTTATCGATCGGCTGGTCGTTCGCTCGCTCGCTTGGTCGTTCGATCGATCGGTCAATTGATCTAGATGGATAGATAGATAGTTCGATAATAGACCTTGAATTCTCCTCTGTTAGACTTCGTTTCGCTAGGTGGAATCATGTGTTCCTCTTTCTTGAACTCGACGAAAGCCCTCGTATTACTAACCACGTTCGTTAATGTCCATAAAACTCTTTAATTCAATCGCGAACAGGTCAACGAACGAAACTGGTAGAGTTTCTGGATTACCAATTGCGATTCGTGGAATTTCAAAAAGGGATAACGACGGCGTCTCGACCATTGACACATTTGATCTCGACGGCTCGATTAAATCACGTTTCAATCTATACGAAATTACTTTTTCAATAAATATTTATTTATCATTTATCGATGCTTATCGGCTCACGATTATATTTCGAAATTCGAACGAGGTATATTTTTTAAATCGTTGAATAATACTTGTATCTCTGCGTGTGTATGTTCAAAAAAAAAAAAGAAAGAAAAAAAATAAACAAAAGAAAAGAAAAGGAAAAAAGAAATGTGCCGCAACTTTAAAGAATTCGGTTCGTCGTCAATACCACGATGTATTCTCTACGTGCGACTCAATTAACGCGTTCCATCGGTCCATCGACGGACAGTCTCGGCGTCGATCGTGAAGAACGAGCGTACGTGCTTCACGGATGTCGGAGGACGATCGTACCATACAAACTTCTCGTTCTCGTGAGATTCGATATACAAGCTTGAAACTTCGTATAGATCAGCTACTCTTAAGAATGTTGCTATTTCTAAGTAGGAGATATGTTAATCGAACGAGATTCGTGACACTTTGTAGAATTTCTAATGCTTTCCATTCGACTTTCCTTTTCTTTCTAGTATTATATTCCTCTCTCTCTCTCTCCCTCTCTTTCTTTCTTTTTCTTCTTCTTTCTTCCCTCTCTTGAGGAATACACTTGACAAGATGAGCAAAGCTGTTACCTTTTATTTGTCGAAGAAATTTGAATGATTAAAGTTTTTCTTCTCTCTCTCTCTCTCTCTCTCTCTCTCTCTTTCGTAGTTCATCGACATTGTAACAACGTACTCGAGACACGAGGTCGATTCTAATCGTAGCACTTTTTCCGTTCAACCGGAATAGTAAAACTTTTATTATAGTTGAACTCGTGGTAATACTCGGCCTATACTTACTATACCTAGCGGAGAATTTGCGTTCGCGTAAGAGACCAAGAAAAAAAAAAGTTTACTCGTCCGAATGTACCGGGGTGTTCCTTGAATTCTTCATACGGATTAAGCCTCAGCATATGGACGATTTAAAGGGTGCATAGCCGTCGTGCACATGGAAATAAAAGTTTTATTTCTCATCGTGGTTCGTCGTACGAATGAACATATATATAGGTAGATACGTTGAGAATACATAACTATAATACACATGTGTACATATGTATAACTGCCGGACGTTACCGTATGGTAAAAGACAGAGAGAGAGAGAGAGAGAGAGAGAGAGAGAGAGAGAGAGAGAAAGAGGAAAAGAAATAGACGGAAAGATACTCACGTTGAGTTTTGGCGTTAGCTCGCATACTTTTCAACCTATATGGCACGTAGAATCGTAATGTAGGTGGACTCGTTTAGTATACAATTATCCACATTTTTCTTAACGCTTACGCCCAGCGTAACAGACAACGTGCTTTTGATACGAAAGTAACCGGCTCGATATCTCTATATACGTATGTATATCTATCTACGTATGCCGATACTTTGCGTAGAACCGTTCAGTTGTATTACGTATTGCAAGGGTTGCCGTTACGAGAAACGTGCTGTGAAAGTGCACTTTCAAAGTACGATGGCCATTTTTATTCGCACTCCACACACACACACACACACACACGTGTATACACAGAAAGTTTAAGTTGCCACGTGGAGGTGGATGAAATAACATCTCGTCTAGTCTCTTAGATCGTTCGTTGAAGCGATTTATACATATATACATATTTGCTTCTCTCTTAGATTTTCTTACCTATTGAATCTAGTATTCTCAACGATTTCCTTTCGATCATAGAGATGAAAACCCAACGAGCGTCCTCCGCTTTCAACGAGAGACATAGAGAAGGAAGATGCCTAAGAGGAAGCGCTAGCAAGCATAGATTTACCGAATCTAATCCTTGACTCGCTTGCGTCTATCGATACGTTTGTATCGGTATTGCCGCTATTCTATCTTCTCTTTCTATCGTGAACGGGCAACCGAGTCTCGAAGCCACGCTCGACTCTATTTCCTTGGCTATTAGCGCTAATCGATTACAGCGTGACGGATCGAATGATTTAAATAAAGACCGGGTGCGTCATGGGCCCGGCCCGGTACACTCGACCGCGCCCCACTTTAGATAGAATGAGAAAGAGAGACAACATTATCTATGTTTCGTCTCATTATTTTGTCCGATCAGTCCGTCACGTGTTTTCTCTTTTTCTTTCTTTTTTTTTCATTTCTCGTTTCTCTCTCTCTCCCTCTCTCTCTCTTTTATGCCTCCTTCTCCTCTTTTTCTGCAATTTCTTTTCTGTTTTCCCTTTGTGATCTTCATAGAAACGATCATCTTATGTATTATGGAATCGATGAGTTCTAACAGGTAAACATTTTTACATGGCGTAATAGTAAATAAATGTATGTATGTATATGTATATATATATATATATATAAATTCGTTTCATTGAAAAAATACGATAATATTTCGATCATAAAAATATTGTCGCTAGTATCTTAACCGTACATACCTATATATCATTTTTTTTTTTGTTATTTTTTTCGTTTCAGATGACCGAAGGACCAATATTCGAGCCAACATGCCAGTCGGATGCCAGTGAAGAAGAAGTGTCCTCTACCTGTAACTAATTAATATGTTACTTAGCTAGTTGAATTAGTAAGTGATATGTTTGATCTATATCTTCGCGGTGACTGTGGATGACACTGACGTGATAGGAATTTCTATCAACTGAAACGGCGCGAGTGAATTTCGTTTTTATTTTTCAATCCTCGTGTTTTCGGAGGGTGGAAAAAGGTAGAAAAAAAAGTTAATAAGAAAGAAATAAAAGAGATAATTACCATTCGATTTGCTCGCACCTCCGTCCTTTCTTCTTTGTTTTTTCCTCTCTTCACGCGTAAAGAAAGACAAACGGAGTGTTAATTTATCTTAGAATTCATTCAGCGAGAAGTATTCTTTCGCTTGCGGTTTATTCTCTCGTGATCTATCGATCTTTCGGGAGTGAAGTGAAACGGGACGTTCTTCAAAAGAGGAAAACGATCGGAAGTAGTAGAAAGGGAGCGAGTAGTAAACGGGCGAGTGCAGTGACTGACTTACATCGAGAACGCCAACCTGCAATCAAGGTTCATGGTTTTCATGGTGAGTGATCTTGATTCTATAAGCTGTCATTTTGTTTCTAAGCAATGATCTAATCTTCTTCTTCTTTTATTTCTTCTACTTCTTCTTAGTTCGTATCGCTTTGAATTTTTATTTATTTTAAATTAAATTTTTTCTTATTCGATAATGAATAAAATAACGTTCGAAATTCCATTTTATCTCATGGAAATTATTAACTCGTAATTATATGTATACATATAGGTAGATTTAATGTAGGTACATAAAAGAAATCGAGAATAGCACTCACAGGAGGTATCGAATCATTAATGCGATTCCTCGCTTTGGGAATAAACAAGCGCTTGATCTTGGAACATTTGAATCGAGCGTGCTTATCGAAGTGCACTTATGTTTACGCACGGGCAAACGTGCGATTTGCATAATTTCGGTGCCGCCTGCTTCCCATGGCCACACGAGTTTATCTTTATATTCGTGCGTATCGCGTGACATCGAGTCTCGTATACGAGTTTCTGTAAACGAATCGAGTCGTCAAATATCGCTGCTTTTCAAGACTACCGGATAAGAAGTAGATATTTATTGGATAATTTATTTCCCTTCAAATTATCCTTGATACGTTACTGAGAGACTAATTATCAGTTATAATTGATTTCTTTAATTGGGAAAAGCATTAAGCTTTTTTGCTTTCTTTTTTTTTCTTCTTTTCCTTTTTATACCTACGTATACGGAATATCTCGAGTAAGGAAAAAGAAAAGAGAAACGTACGAAAAGGCGAAAGAAAGGAAAAAGAGAGAAAGAAAGAAAGATGGAGAGAGAGAGAGAGAGAGAGAGAGAGAGAGAAGCATAAAAGAGGGGAGAGCCAGCATAAGGTTACGGGTCAGCCATGGAGAAGCATTAATAATCGTTTACAATCTTTAAGGTAGGGTGTGGCGAGTACGTTAACCCCTTCTTCTCTGCTTCTTTTTCCATCTTCTCTCTCCTCCCCTCTTCTCTCTCTTTTTCTCTCTCTCCCCTTGTATTCGTCGAAGGTACATCGTACCGTCTCGAAATAAGAGCAAAAAGTATGTTCTTGCTTCGGACTTTAAAGGAGTTGGTCGCGTATATCACGAAAAAATAACTTCACTATAGTCATCGAAATTGTTCACGGTCGAACGTAACTGTTCGAATTTGATTGGTATCGATGGGTACCGGCTATTATGATAATAGTAAATTTTCAAATAATTCATGCATAATATAATGCATCTCTGATTTTACAGATAAATCCGTTTATGCTCAATGCTCATTCAATCGAAAGAGTCGAGTGCAAAGGGTTAATAATCAAAATTTAATAATGATAGAGAGGATAATTCAAAGAGTCGAAGAGAGTCTGCTGGTTCGACCGATCGAAGTCTACTAAACTCTCTCTCTCTCTCTCTCTCTCTCCCCTCTATCTCTCTCGCCTCATCGATTTCCTTACTCCTGTTTATCTCGATAGTTTACGCGCGTAATCGCTGTACTACTACTAGTAATAGGAAGATCTCGGGCTATCGTTTGACGCGCAAAATCAATTTACGAGACGGTCGGCTCGTTTACTCATAGCGCATCCATGTTTCGGAAGTGCGATATATTGATTAAAAATAAGAAATTAACGCTAGATAAAACGAGAGAGAGAGAGAGAGAGAGAGAGAGATAGAGAGAGAAAGGAAACCAGATAAACCGGTATTACTAAGATCAACCAAACGAATTTCTCGTACATGTGGTGGTGACTTGACCCTTCCTCGAATAAACTTCCCTTTGGTAGGAAATATTCGAGTACTTAGGTAATCCACAAATTCGATTTGATTCCATTTTATCCAATATCTAAGCGTATATAATTTGCATAGCCAAGAAGTTGGGGCTTGAAATAAAAAAGAAAACAAAACAAACAAAATAACAATAATAATAATAATAATGGAACAAAAAATACATTCGAAAATAATGCGGATACATTATTATCGAACGTGCATTATTTTTACATCATTGCATCGTATTAAAGATACGACAAAGATACGAGATAAAAGATCTTCTTTCTCTTTCTTCCTTTCTTTTTTTTTATTTTCATTTTTATTTTTTTTTCCTTTCTTTTTCTTTTTTTTTATTACTTTCCCGTTGAACCTCTCAACAAGTTTGAAACGGCGAATTTCGGGGGATTAAAAGATGAGGGTCTTAAAAATTCCAAATCCAGTCTTCCACGGGGATTAATACGGATGATCGAAGGACATCTATCACTGTCTCGAGATACCCAAGATCTTCCTCCTTTTTAACACTTAAAACAAAGCGAGAAACAGGTTCGAAAAGGTGCGCCAGGTAAAACAATCTACCAGAAGATATCTCTTTCATTCATTCAAGAAGGCTGTTAAGAGGTCAAAGAGCGTCCTTCGTCCGACGATACGCGTGCTGAATCAAAGAATTCGACGCGGTAAACGATAAGATACTTTCTCTCTCTCTCTTTCTCTCTCTCTACCTCTTATTTTTTTTTACGCTTCACTATCTTCGTCCTCGGGTTATTAACAACGGTGATAAATTGTAATGCAGAGGCACGCGGGTGCGGCCTTCTCTCGTGGCTAGTGCGACGAATCGGCGATTTGGAGGAAAAAAAGTCCCTTCGGGGAACCCGTTCTTCTTCTTTCTCTTTCTCTCTCTCTCTCTCTCTCTCCCTCTCTCTCTCTTACTTTCACTCTCTCTTTCTCTCTTACTCCCATCTTTTTTCTTTCTTTCGCGTGTGCTACCTTCTCCGTGAAAATCGGTCGTCGGCCCTTCGCCCTGTGTCCTCTTCATCGCTCTCTTGCACAGTCATCGTCTTACCTCTCTTTTCTCTCTCTCTCTCTCTCTCTCTCTCTCCCCTTTTTTTCCTCTTTCTTTTTCTCTCTACCTACCTTCCTTCTTGAGCAGCCATCGACACCACCTGCGGCGACGAAATCAACGTGTTTACCGTACGGCCGAATTTAATGGAGAATCCTCTCCTCGATATCATCCTTTCGTCATTTTCTTCCTTAATCTATCGTATTTCATTCTAATTAGTTTATAATCCCATTTCTTCGATCTAATATCATTGAGATAACTGAACCGTTAATTATCTTTCATTTAAATTCGTTTAAAAAAGTATTGAAGGATATATCCTATATGAAATTCGCACGTTCGTTAATGCAAATTTAATTGAAATATTTATTCCGTACTTATTCGGGCATATACAAAGGCAAGTATCGTTATCTAATGATTGTGTACATTCGTGTTATCGTTTATCGCGGCCCAGTTAAGACCTCTCTGATATCTTCTGTCGTACGTTAAATCGTTTTAGTCGACTATAAGATATGTATTGCATAAAAGCCACGCGCCGCTAATTGCTACTGGTGGTGCAGCTCGTTTCGCGACACAGGTGTAACGATCCAAAGGAATATCACGTGATATTATTTCACACGCATTGTCTCTTAGATGTCGTTCTTCTTTCTTACTTCGTATTTGTGGCTTCTTTTTTATCTTATCTCGTTTCTCTCTCTTTCTCTTTCTTTTTCTTCTTTCCCCCATTTTATTTCATTTGGAATTTCTTCCTAACCCACAGCTGGGGGATAAGAAGCGTCTGGCTAAAATCCGATTAAATAGATTCTTACTGACTTGAAATTCGATCCAATAATAGAGTTAACAAAGTTCGGATAGAAATAACTTCCCGCTCGTTTAAGGAATAATTCATCGAAGGAAGAGGCAAATTTAATTTATGAAGAATTCGTACGTATTCCTATAGTCGTCGTCGTCGTCGTCGTTATTTCGTAAGGTACTTACCTCGTCGGGTAGCATTCGGAAAAATCGATAAGGCAATGCGGGTAAAAGAACAATTTCTTTTTAACCTTCTTACGGATATCTGCAATTTTGCATTGTATCCTGCAAAGATAACGCATCGTAAAATCGTGGATTTGACAATGCTCGTTAAAAATTGATTTTTCTTCACTTAGTAATATGGTTAATGTTTCAACGAATTTGGTTCTCTCTCTCTCTCTCTCTGACGCGGGAAATAATTCGTGCAGGTGTCACTTCAAGTCGATTTCCTTTGGAGTCGTATCAAACAGAAGTACGTAAGTACGTGTGTACGTATATATATATATATATATATATATATATATATATATATATATATATATATATATGTATATATTCACGGTACTCTTTCTCTTCCCTGGTCTCTCTACGCGAATCTTTTATTAGCATTAATGTAATTCGATAATAAGTTATATTTAATAACGCCAAAGACTACGTACGTTCTTCAAAATTTACATTGGAACTTTGCTACGTCGTGGCGTAACGTTTACGGTTCTGAAAGACATTTAGCCGAAGTCGCGCGCTGTTGGATACTAAGTATCGCTCGATTATATCTCGCCCGTAAAACGTCGTAGGGACATTAATTTATTTTATATTCGCACTGGGGTCGCGTATGCACGTCGAATATCATTTCTTTCTTCCTTTCCTTCTTCTTCTACTTCTCCTTCTACTTCTCCATCTACCTCTCCTTACTCTTTCCTTCCTTTCTCCTTATTCTTCGTATCTTTCTCTCTTTCTTCTTCCTGCAACGAGCCGACGTTTATAGTTCTCTACGTGCCAACCGCGAGAAATCGTTATTCGCAATAAATTTTTGTCACACTAACGGAGAGGATCCGGTTGACAAGCACAAAGATCGATTCGACTTGTTAATACGATTCGTTTTACGGCTTTCTCAAGATTTCCTTTTTCAAAAGACATTCATATCCGCCTTTAAATTCCAATTTCCATTTGATCCTAGTGATCCAACCAACGGAGTTTATTGAGGGGAAGAAAAAAAAAAAAGAGAAAAACGAACAAGAAAAAGAAAAAAATTATACGTATCTCTGATAATTGGCATCTTTTCGATGCGAGGTCAACAAGCATTGTATCATCTTCATCAAGAAAAAGAAAGTTCGTTCGTTCGTTCGTTCGTTCGTTCGTTCGTTCGAGCAAACGGAAGCTATGCAAAGGCTTCGATATTTTTAGAACTACTTTCGCGA